TTCCACTTTGTTTTCCTTCATTCAGCTATCTTCGAAAAACAACTCATAGCTGGCAATGCTGCACATGTTTCCGCAAGGGTTGCAGCATGTGGAATTAATTTTTTTTATTTGCAAATAGCTTACGTATAAACGTAGTAAATGTTCCTCGTGAACTGGGGATGTAAAAAAACATCGATGTATCGAGCAACATCGATGTTCGTGGCTTCAAAAATCGATGTTTCTCAATGTTTTTATTAATCCGATGTTAACAGTCCTATTCGCGTGCAATGACAAAACTTGCCGCTATAATTACTGTCATGCTTATAATCAATTGTCACATTTAGGTATGCAGAGGGCAATTTTAAAGCTCTAACGGTGACAATTGCTTTTATTTTTGTGATGACCTATTGAGTAAGTTACAACGCTGTAACATGTTAATATTTTAAACATTATTAAATTTGCAAAAAAAGTTACAAAGTTTGATTAAATAAAAACTGTGAAACCATTTTATTTACCTATTAAGGTGTATTAAAAAGATATTATTTGCGTTTGCATATCATAATAGTATCCATTGCAAAATATTAATCATGCAGGAAATAATTACAGTATATTTTGCTTAGCTGCCCATCCTTCTTTGCACGAAAAACTTGTGCACTTAACCGAAAAAAGCACTTAAGCGAATTTACTTTACTACTTCAAAGAGGAAGGTATCCGAATCCCTATGAAACCAAATAATGGAGGAGCACTTACCACGTAGAAATTACTGCAAGCGAAATTTTTACCGAATGGTATCTAATTATCTATATAATTACATTAATTGATAGCCATTTTCGTTGTTCTGCGAGATGAGCAAAATAAATAAAAGCTTGTAAAATTAGGTAATTGTAGGGCCAGTGCAGGTAAACCTAATACTTTCTTTGATAGTTAATAATAGTTGCACAATTTTTAAGGCAGGTATCGCCAATGTGCAGGTATGTTGAATGCACCTATCGGAGGAGTTTCCTTATAAATGTTAAAAATAATGCCGCTAATGCGCATTTAAAGGTAGGTATCTTAAATGTGCACTTAAGCATAAAGGCAGCAAAGCAAAATATACTGTATTATGTGCGCGTCTATTGCTATGGAGCAAGGAGAAATTATACAGAGAAGAAGACTTCTGAGGGAACTCCGGGACAGCAGTTTTTTTAACAGTTTTTACCCATTTGCAGTTCGGGCTGGTCTTTACAAAACTGCACCTGCTCTTGTGTGGTGCGTTTATATTTTTCACGCCCGTAATACACGAATTCATAATAAAATGAAATGAATTTTCCTATTATAAAATTACTCACTTTACCGGCGTTTCATAATCCATTGCGGTGTATTTTATTTAAAAGAAATCCAGTCTGTTTTCGCCGCAATTGGCAAATATAACGAGCTTTTTGGTTTTCATTATTGTCAAAACATCGACGTTTCGAAAAACATCGAAGATGTTTCTTTACTAATTTTAAATCATTTCATAGTATGCGCGCTTTAAAATTTTGAGCGAGTGTTTGATAAATAAGTACTGTTCGGGACGGGGTGAAATGGGGTCCGGGAATTCCTCTTGAATTCCGCGGCAAACTAGAGTCGAGGATTTGCCGAATCCCTAAAGTCCTTCGAGGTTCAATTAAACCGCAAAAAATTCGCTCAAAAATGAAATGAAACACTTCACACTTTTCACTATTATATGTATATACAGTGACGAGCAAAACTGTAACATGGTTTAACACTTTTTCTTTCAGCCACCGCTATATTTCCAAGTTCTAACGACTTTCATCCTTTTGTTGAATATTCTTGTTGGTACATCCCTTCTCCCTCTCTTATAATGATTTGAAGTCAATACAACAACAATAAAAAAAACCAGCAGACAAAAATGTAAATTAAGGCAGATGTTACAGTTGTGCACTCACTCTCAGTTTTGCATTTGACAGTTATCTTTTACTTAGTTGGAAGTCAGATGACTTTTTTCTATATTGTAATTTATTGAAGAAGTGATCACTAGTAAATAACATAGTTAATCAGGAACCATAAATGTAAATAATAGATTTACTGCGGAAAGGCGGAACCGCACGAAAAGTGGCAAAAATTTTGGAATTTGCTACTTAAAAATGTTAAGACTTAGAAAAAATATAGCCTAAAGTGTTCCCAAGGACAGAGGAAGTCTGTTAAAAAATAGTACGGTACGATATCTTGTGAACTTAGAAGAGTAGCGATGCAGCCACTATTACAGAAGCGCTTAAGGTATTAAACTTTAATGCAAATCAATAGACAGCGAGGAGAAGAATTGTCAAATTGAGCACAATGGATCATAAAAGAAGAAAAAAGCAAATTTGATCATAATACATGTGCGAGTGTGGCAGCATTTCGCAGCATCGCACGAAAACCGAACCGTTGCCTATTGGGATATGTTAGGCCGTTCAGAATGCAATAAAAAACATATTTTTAAGTTTCAATTGAAGGTTATTTGGTCTGACAAGACTAAATTAATCGCCTTCAATCAGATGGCCGGGCATGGTATTGGATCAAAGACCCAAATTAAGCCTAATCGCATCATGTACTGCAAACTGTGAATCACAGTGGTAGGATCTTAATTGTTTGGGGTTGTATTTAAAAAAATTTGTTGGTCCGTAGGTACGCATTATGCGTAAGGAACAGTATCTGTTCATATCTCAACAAAATTTGCAAGATGTAGTCGAAAAAATGGGAGTTTCTGCTGAAAAATCACCCAAAACACACTGCATATGTTCGCAAAGACTTGATGGAAAAGCAAAAATTTGCTATTTTGAAATGACGTCCACAATCCGCGGACATGAATCTCATCGAGAATTTGCGAAATCAACTAAAAGCACAGCTTAATAAGTATCAAAGTCCGTAAAATCGAGTACATGATCTGTGATATATGGGAGGATATACCTCCAGAATTTTTACAGAGATACAAATAAGGTATGCCAAATCGCATTCAGGAACTAAAACAAGCAAAAGAGTACTGAACATTGTGTTAACAATTCGTTTTTTTCGTGAAAATTGTCAAAAAGTTATTAAAAATATAAAAGGGCAAAACTGTAACATATGCCTTAATTTACATTTTTGTCTGCTGGTTTTATTATTGTTGTTGGATTGACTTCAAATCATTATGAGAGAGGAAGTACAGGTGTACCAATAAGAATATACAACAAAAGTATGAAAGTCGATAGAACTTGGAAAGATAGCGTTGGCTGAAGTAAAAAGTGTTACACCATGTTACAGTTTTCCCCGTCACTGTATATATATGAGTGCCTAACGGCCACTTTATTATATATATATATATGTGTATATAAAAAATGCTCTAATAAAAATATGTACAATATAGGAGTTGTTAGAGGACCTTACTTGTTTTCTCGGAGTTCTCTTCCAAAGTGGCAGAGTGTTGGGTGATCGCAGAAGGCGAGACCCAACATCCGAGGCGAGTAACAGGACTCGAGAAAAAGGAACTCGAGTAACGAGTAACTGTTCCTGCTTAGATCACAGCTACATCTACAAGTGAAATTCTCTAATCAATAAATATACTTAAGGTGAAGGGGTTAGCGTAAACAAGTACTTTCAGGGAAAGTTGATTTAATAAATTTGTAAATTCTAATTTATAAATGTACATATATAAATAAGAAATAATTTAAATAGTTAGCTTTAAAATTATGGAGTGAAATCGTAAAACTGCTTAGCGTTACCATCCAATTTGCCAAATGACTTCGTATCGACTCGGCGGGTGGGTCGCCAAAACTACTCAGAATCTGTACCTAACTAAAATTTTAATACATTGCATTAATACTACACCTCGTTTCAAAATTACAACCCACCAGCAAGCTTTCTTAAAACATCGATGTTTTAACTATTATTTAAATTAATTTCATCACCGTCATCTTGAAGCACCACTTTGCTGTCTACATCACTTTTATCCGTCACACTTTAACTGCGCGCAAACCAATCAATGTCTTTATATTTTTCAACACTTTTTGCAAAACGCGACTTGTCACTACTTAAAGCGGGAAATGTTTAGCTATTTGTACAACGATTTAGAGGTGGGGGCGGAGGGGGAGGGGGTGCGGGCTTCACAAATCCCCCTTAAACGAAAGAGGATTGACGCCGCTTTATGAAAATTCACCCCTCCGCCCCCAACCCCTCCCACAGACCTCTGGAGAGCTGTTTGAAAATAGGGGAATTTTAGATTTTTCGCAAGGAAAAAACAAAGTTAAACTTGCGTCCGAAGAAGGGGGGCTGAATACCTTTTGCAGAGAACACCTTTCTGCGTAGGCGGCCTTCGGCCGCGCTTAGGGATTATAACCCTTACTACGTAGAATTCTCCTTTCTGTGTGACATAACTGGGGCTACCGCCCAAATACCATATTTCCAACCGACATTATTGTTAAATTAGTGCACAGATTTAGTAAATTAAATTTTTGTAATAAAGCGTGAACTGTTGTCTACAAGTGTGCGTAAAAGTTTGGGCACAGCAACCCAAAATCGTTGTACAAATTCATAAACAGTACCCCTTAAAGCATTTCTTATACTCTTATTATACATTTTAAATACATTGTACATGCCTTTTTGTTATTTGATGAGTTTTTCTTTTTAATTTTCTATTCCTGCTTCTGGCCGGCACAATGAGATCTTACTTTTTGACAAATATTTAGCACATGCATATCTTGTGCACATGTTAGAACGAAATGCCACCACTCCGTTAATCTGTATTAGAAACCGTCACGTTCTTACATTCACAAGTAATTGGCAAATTTATTGCATTTGGATGCGTAAATTAACATCAGTTTATTTATGTGTTTGTGAATCCCTTAAGCCTGCTACACAGTTCAGTGCGGACTTAAATTTTTGGTCAAAATAAAACGCTCACGCTCGCATTATTGCGGTATGGCTGGGATAATTTAAGAAAAAAGGAAAGGTGGCACCTCTGAAATTATTCACTGCAGATGGCGCCAGGTTACTTGCGCTGAATAATGTTGTCAAAACTTTGACATATGTATTTGCTGCATTCCCGATTTTCCACCAAGCCGAAGGAATTGTCCATATTGAAAAACGCAATTAATGCCAAAAAATCTATTGAAAAGGTAATTCAACTTCCTTTTTTAAACATGTCGTACCAACTTTACAGAAATACAACACTTGGAAATACCTTGCAAGAGAGCCTTGATGAACTCATTCAGGTAAGCAAGAAGTGGCAGCAGAAAAGTCGCCTCGATAAACATTTGAGCGAAACTGGCATTTTATTATAAATAAAAATAACACGCTATTTATTTATGTTTTACGTTGCAATTGCCTACTTTCCAGTATGGTCACATTACCCCGACATTGGCATTTAAGGTACTCTTGCAATTTGACAAGTGCATCAACACTGCTCTTAATCAGCGGGTCAAGGCCCGCGTTACCTTCAAGGCAAACAAATTGAATACGTACCGATTCTGCGACAACGTATGGACACTTATGCTAAACGAAGTAGAGTTCCGTGAGGTGCACGAATTTGCTAAAGTAGATAAGGTGAAAATTGTGGCTTGTGATGGCAAGAGCGGGGAATTCACTGGATAATCTTAATAACGCTGACACTATAAGACATCGCTGCTTATTACAGTATCAGACAGAAACAATATGCTGAAATACTAACATAGGTGTAGCTTCGTACTGTTTGATAGGAAGCTTATGGAGGTATAAAGATTTATTAATGCTAGTAAAGTAATTTATAAAACGAATATTTGCAAAAATAAATACACATTAATTTTCTATGATAAATTATCAAAAATAATCATTGTAAAAGACTTTCTACATCAAAGGAAATAACTAACGTTCTAGGCATCTATAGAACAGTTTCTCAAATAAACATTTCCACGCTAAATTAGATATGTTTGATATAATTGGGACCACGGAATTAATTTCTAATACGCCTTCGCCTTAAGTTTAACCAGCGAGGTTTAAAGATGTTATATCGTATTGTTTAGTTCAAAGCGCCCATTAAGTTAAGGTTAGACAATTACTGCGCCGTAAGTGTCGGATTTGCTTTATGACGTCAAGTTTTTAACGGTTTAACATATACTATAACCAATTACTACAGTTCACGTAATCAGGCAACCATGTACTTTTCACAAATTTTTTAAATTTCGATTTGTTAGCGATTTGCTGTGTTTTCTATCATGACAACCATTTTATAAACACTATCTTTAAATTTTCGACCAATTTTTTTGCTATTTTAGGCCCTAATCCGACTGTCGGAACAACAGTCGTTCGACGAAATTTGAGATTTTCATTGGCGTCATGAGGCAACCAATGACATAATCTACTACAAATATTTATTCCTATTATTCTTTCGAAATTATGTATTGAAAATGTGTTAAAATCTGTCGTTATTGTTTTTATTTACGACATAATTCAACGAACGACTGTCGATGCGAACGCCTTACGACAACCAGAATAGGGATGATTAATTCAATAATTATATACCTTTTTTTATTTATGGCCTTATAACATGAGCTTTAGGCTGTTTCTAATCGAGAATTTTATGGAAAAACAACAAATTACACATTGTAGAAGCTATACATAGCTGCTTTTTGGAAGATCACCACATTACCACATCAGACTTCTTCATCCAGTTCACTGAGACTTGAACTCGCAACCCCGGCGTTCAAAACCAGTGGTCTTACCTACTGAGCTAAGTTCGTCATGTAAATTGTTGTTGCTTTTTTCCACTTTCGTCATTTGATGAACCCAACTACTACAACCATGGGCAACGATGTGGTTGCTTTTAGACTTGACCATGTGGCAGTTGTTTGTTGTTGATTCTATGTTAAGATTCTCTTTCAAGAATATTTTACTTAAAGGTTCGTTAAAAGTTTTTTTTTTTTGTTATTTATGGTATTATAACAATTATATTCAATAATTTTATTGAGCTTTACGCTTTTTCTAATGAATTGTTGAATATTAATATTAATTCAATATTTATTAATTTATTTATTTTAACATTAAACATGAATTAATTGAATTTAAACTTAGGCCCTTATTATGAGCTGCATTCGATTTTCGATCTTCGCTGGCTATCGAATATCGAAGATCGAAAGTGAAATTCGTATTATGAGCTATGCAAGCGTGTCGAAAGTTTCGTTGAGTATCGAATTTTCTGTCGAACAGAATTTTGCTTTCGATGGTGTAGCGAAGTGTTAGAAAATTGTTAAAAATGTATGATTTTGTATATGTTTTCTTACATTTTGGCGGCTAGACTCTAATTTTAAACAATTTTTATTAATTTCATGCAGTTCTAACATCGTGAATACTAAACACAAACTCGAAAGGCTGGTTTTACTTGTGAAAGAAAAACCCAATACTGTTGGCACGATCTCTGAGAACAAAATCGTAGCGTTGTTGATAGTTTTAAAATATTTTAAATAGATTTGGCTCACAAACGCCACTTTAGATGGTCGGAACCATGATAAAAACATAGCAAGGTATAACCGGAAAGTTCCACACTCGACTAGACTGTTTTCTGGTAAACACATACATAATTGTATTATCATTCGTTTCTTTGAAAGCCTGACTCGAGTATACATGCATGTAAGTATGTGCGCGTATGCACGTGCATCTATTATCAGCACTAAGTTTCACTTTAAAAAGCAACAGCGGTTTGAGCTATGCGAAATACCGACTAGAACTGGTTTTATATTCCGGCTAGACTTTTCGCCCCGATATAGATAAATGGAACAAAGTAAAATATTCTAGCGTATTGTGGATTTTGAAATACTTATGCATACGCTGACCATATTTGGGTCAGAACGAAAAATTTTCTTTGTTTTGTGATTAAAAAAATATATGGGCATACATATATTCTGCCATACCTTGAGTTTCACCCGAAAATTTTTATTGCGCCCATGATAAATACATGGATAAATACATGGAAAGTCATGATAAGGCTGATTGAGTTAAATCTAGACATTACGTGAAAAAATGCCCTTAGTTGACATAAAATGCCCACAGAGTGTAGTGTACTATGTAGTCGATTAAATGCTTCAAAAAATTTATAATCATGCCTATTACGCTAGCCGACGGATGCCATTCGCAAGAATCTAATCCTTCACTCTCGCTTGTTATGACATTGCGAATCGGAATACCGTAATAGGCATGAATAACTGATGCGGAGTTCTATCAAAAAAGATGGGCAAACTTAATCTAACACTGTAAGTCTAACTTGCATTAGTTTTTCCGAGCTTTATTTTTTCAGCAAAAGTAAATCAAATGCGAGTATTTTTCATTTTAAAAGATTTATGGTTTTTACTTGATCTTGGCCTTGTTTTTAGGTGCGTTCATGTAATACTGAGCGTAACCATTTAATTTTACCGCTTCGTAAGTTGACACGCTTACATAAATGACCCTATTGTTTTTCCGTGCTCAATCCTATTTTTCATTAAAATTTTCATGACGAAATTTAACTCATCGAACAACTCCGGGTCTACGTAACCTGAACGACCCAGATTTATATCTGGCCAAGGACTGTCACTACAGCCTCACTCCCTAAAACACTGGTGAACTTGTATGCTGTTGCAACACCAACAACAAAAAAAAACAGGATTATGCCGTACAATACTGGACGGATGGTCACCATACTTACTATATGAATGCATCTCTGTACCAGTCAAGTACCAGTTAAAACTAGAAAAAATATATTTACATACAAACTATTCCAAAAGTAAAAGCACGGTTTTAAAGACTTTTTCTGTCAGAAATATATGTATGTGCATTAGTATGCATCACCAAAAGAAGTGGCAGTTTTTCCGCCGGGATTACAAAATGTATTATATTTTAAGACGTCCAGCGAAATATTTCGGATAAATATTAAGATTTAAGTGAGCTGGACCGATTTGAAAATACCACCCAAAATGAAGTTTTTTTATGAATAAAAATTGTTTCTTAAAGAACTTTTTGAAAAAGGTCCCCTCAGATGACAAAACAGATTAAGCTTAAAAAATCTGTATAAAAATAATTAAATATCTTTTCAACGGAATCGTAAGAATGAGAATTTTGATGCGGTATTTTCACACTGTTTTTATTTCTGTCCAAAAAAAGTCATTCCTGTCCCAATTTTTATTTTCAAATACCCACACATCTTATTCAACTTTGAATGACGTTCTTTCATCCTACCTTTCTCGTTCATCCTTTGAATGAGTTTATTAGCAAAGAAAAAGCGTGAGAAAATATCTTTACAATGACACCTCTTAAGTCTAAATCAGAAGAGTTTAGGTTCAGTTATTCAAGTTTTTCTTATACGGATCTTTGAAAAGTTTAAAAACAACATCGAAAATCTCATCCTTACGATTCCGTTCAAAATTTGTTTAAATATTGTATGCAAATTTTTTAAGCTTAGATCGTTTTGTCATTTGGGGAATTTAAAAAAAAAAAATTAAGAAACTATTTTTATTCATAAAAAACTCCTTTTGGAGATATTTTCAAGTCGGTCCAGCTCACTAAAATCTTAATATTTTTTCGAAATATTTTGGTGGACGTCTTAAAATATAATAGATTTTATTATTCCAATGGAAAAATAGTACCTTTTTTTTTTGTATGGGGAGTGATGCAGTCTAATGCACATACATACATATAATTACATCGTCATTTTGCACACGCATTGTGTTTGTTATAAATTTTGAGTAAGTTTTTGCTTTCATATAATAGATAAGGGTGTATAGTCAAAACAAGACAAATATTTACTTAGCGACAGTGATGTGATATTGTTTTTAGCGGTTTTCTCAATACATACATACAGTGACGAACAATAGTATTGGTACAGTGAATTTTCGCAATATATGCAACGTTTTTTATTCTAATTTATTTACGATAGTCTTAATATATAAAAATCCCGTGTCATGTGTCACTATTTTTTTCAAAATTTTTTCTTTGCTTCTCGCATCGTGCTTATCTTAATATATAAAAATCCCGTGTCACTGGGTTCGTTCACGCTTTCATTTTTTTTTTCATCGGAGTTTTTCCTATGATTCTCGCATAATGTAGTATGTATTTATACATATAAACATGCGCACATCAATAGCAACAAACATTTTACAATTTGGACTTCATCCAATGTGATGCATTTCCCTGGCTGATGTTTTAACCGTACTAGAGGTCGTTTTTTTCAAACGTAGTGAACAATAATAACAATCTTTTGTAAATTTCGATATCAAATGAAACGTAAAAAACAATATCTATAAAAATGTAGGTCATTTTACACCGGAAACCATAAATATAAAATCTCTAAACTTTGTGCGAAACTCAGGAAAATTCAATAAATTTCCATACTAATGTGCAACTTTCTATTGAAAAATTCTAACTATGTGGTTTTATAGCCCATTCAATTTTAGTTTAACGAAGTGCAGGTTTGAAGTTGCTGGAAAATTGCGGTTATTTTTGTAAATTTTTTAGTGGAAGGTGTTGCTCATTTTCTCTATACAAAAAATAATTGTCGAACATACTTTTTATGGAAGAACCTGCATGAAAAAAATGTCAATAATTAACGCGACTTTCTACCAATTTCAAGCCCGCCCTTTGTTATGAAACTGCATACTTATAATTTGTCTTAAAAATCTGAATAGAAAGTTCCGAACTAGTATGCAAATTTATTGAATTTTCCGAGTTCTGCTCAAAGTTTAGATTTTATTTTTTGGCTTTTGGTGTTGAATTTATAAAAAAAAAAAATATATATATAGAAAATAAATAAGAATATAAAACTTTGCATATATTGCGAAAAATTCACTGTGCCTATACTTTTGTTCGTCACTGTATGTATGTATTTGTAAACAAAACTGATTGAATAATAATCAGTATGGATCACCGTTACAATCAAATGTTGTGAAGCGAAAACTGTTGTCAACGAAACGAAATAAATAAGATTTGCAGATATGTATTTCTGCAGCATTGCATTTCCATAACGAAAATAAAACATAATCGGCATTTTGTAAACTTTCTAATCACATGCATTTAGTAGATGTATTCATTTTTGTATTACGCTAACTTTTTAACAAAAGCCGTATTGAACTATTTGTACAATCATTAAAGTTATTTACATTTGGCTAATTTCCCTTCTCAGCGCTACTTTTTATTAGTTTGACTGCTTTATCCAACAGATTTCCAGGCATTACAAATCAAGTATTAGTTTATGGTTTTTTTTAGGGAATTATACTTTTATAAATAATCTACTATTATACGAATTAATAACAATCATTTCTTTCTACTATAAAAATATTACATGTAAATTCATCAATATTAAAACAGATTTAATAATGCTTAAAAAGTAGAAACTACAAAAAATTTCCCTTAATAACGCTTTATAAATCTATTTTATTGTTTTATGAATGATTCCATTAGACTTCAGAACTTCATATCAATATGTATCTATGTATATTCGATAATCATTAGCATAAGTATTTATACTTTGCAATATCTACACTAGACTAATTGCTCCCAGTTATGCAATTATATAATACGTTCTATACATATATACATATCGTCGTTTAAAGTATAAAACCGCGTATGAACAAAATGCAAAACCGCGTATGTGAGGCTTTGTTCGCGGTTTTGTACTTTAAACGACAATATATACTTCTTCATCGTGTTATCACATAAGCTCGGCGAAATCCATAATATAATACTGAGCCCGTTTATGGACCTCATCACGCAGAACGTTTCCGCCAAAACCAATAACATTATTTGCTGGGGGAGAAGCCTCCAAATCAGTCGCTCCATCGCCGATCATTGTAATATTTGCACTCGGATAGGATCGTTTAATAATCGACACAGCCTCTGCTTTACCACCACTTTTAGAAGTAGGTTGTGAGGTATCGAAGCTGGCATAATCACCATTAAAATAAAACATTAATTTGTTAGCGAATACGTGCTCTCTTGGAATTCCCAGGTCATCTGCTATTGGATCTATTAGGCAATGAAAACCTCCTGAAATTAAATAGATTTCTTTCCCTTCTGACTTGAATTTATCAACTAGAGATCGAATATTTTTCGTTAAGGTGTGAGGACGCTGTTTCATAAAGTCGATGATCTGTTTTTGACTTGGTTTTATAATGTTAAGCCTAATATTTAGGGCATCTTGGAATGTCATTGCCCCGCCCATAGCTTCTTTTGTTACCCGTGCTACTTCCGAACCCTTTCCACAAAAATCCGCAAGTTCGTCGATGCCTTCTTCGCATATAACTGTTGAGTCTACATCAAAGCAAACTACGTTCGATTGTTTAACTATCTCGGCGGCTAGTTGGGGATTTTTGCTTGTTTTCAATGCATCGCTGTCAGCAACCGGTGTCAAGTTTCTATTTATTAGAGGAGCTTTCGTAGATAAGTTCAACTGATTGTTATTGTTGTGCGAAACATTTACATTACTCGTTGCCATAGCAGATTGTGGTGCAGCGACGTATGCGTCATTTAAGAGATTCCCGCTTCTTGCCACACGCACCGATCCCATAGCCACACGATTCATTGTTATTCAAATTGTGCTTGTTAAATTAATAAAAAGACAAATAATTGCAAGCTACTGACGCAACGCCTATCTTGTTTACGAATGCTGCTTACGATGATTCTATTTTCAATGCACAAGTGCAACTGGATGATGTAAATTGTAGGCAAGCCTATTTCTCTTGAGATTGAAAATCACGCCACGCTGAAGCTTTCTTTTTTATTATCGAATGTTGTTTGTTTAGCGGCAATTCTTTTTTATTTCCTTCCAATTTTTTCTCGTTACCAAAATATTCCACTTTAGCCAGCCGTGTTTGTTTTGAGAAAGCACAGAAATAAGTAAAACAACATCCGCACTTTGTCCAGCTTATAAACAAAAAATGAGCGAAATCTCTAAAATTTAAATATTCCATTAAGTTCCAGTGGAAAATTCCAATGTCAAATAACCTTCCAAAAACAGTTGATTTTCAGTGTTGCCAATATAACATAACTCTACAAAAACGAAGTTACCACGCATTATACAATTTCATATACTCCCCTTTGAGACACGTAAAGTCTTGAAAGCAATTTTTATCGCATTCTCTTTTGTGTTTTCTCTTTACTTCCACACGCGTCAAGTTTTATTGAATTCAAGTCCTTGGTTCTTGTAATGGGAAGCAACGAAAAGATCAAAAGAGAACAAGAAAACTTGAAACGAATTGACGGTACTGTGGTATCAGCACTAAAGATGGGCGCGGGATAGCGGGACCCACGGTACTGATTTGAAATTGGCCGGGATGGGCGGTATCGGGAAGATCTGTAAAAGTATGGCGGGCGGGACGGGATTAAAATTCTTTCCCGACACTCCCAATAAAACCGCAACCCCCGGAATTCATAAAGAGCGAAAAGATCAAAAGAGAACAAGAAAACTTGAAATGAATTGACGGTACGGAGGTATCTGTACTAGAGATGGGTGCGGGATAGCGGGATCGGGAAGATCTGTAAAAATATGGCGGGCGAGACGGAACCACAATCCTTTCCCGACACTCCCGATAAAACCGCAACCCCCGCAAATTTACAAAATCATCCTTAGATAGATATACAGATAGATAGATATGGCACTGCGATCGGTAGGTCTATTGTGCCCTTAGCTCATCACAACACGTCGACCAGTCCCAGATACTCTAAACATTTTATAATAGATCCCGGGGTAGTGAGATTATGTGCTACTCTCTTGGCCACAGGTGCCCTATGCTCCTATTTCTTCTGCGTGCAACGGCCTCGCACTCCACACGAAAGTGTAAAGGAGTATCCTTGGCCACATTGCAAAAGCGACACAGGTCGCTGTACCAGAAAACCCTGCCATTATTCTTAGTTTCTCCTTAGGGAGGTCCATCAGTAACCTATATCTTATCAGATTTATCCTCCTAGTTTGCTTTTTACCTGACGTAGACCCATGGTGTTACGCCTGCGCAGTTCACTTAGGGCCAGTTTTTCAGTGCACGGCCGTGGTTTAAACTAAGTTTAAACGCCCGATCTGGCTGGTTTAAACTAAGATCAGCCAAACAAATGTCAGCCAGCTATTCAATTTAAACTCAGTTTAATCAATCTAAGTTTAAACTGGCACTGAAAAACTGCCCATTAGTTTGGTATTTTCCTTTCTGAGCTCACGTGTTGGCCAAGCAATGGCTCCGGTCCTATCGGGTCGAAAGCAGCGGCCAGTCTGGCCAGATTGTCAACTTCCTCATTACCTGCGACTCCCATGCGGCCTGGTACCCACATCAGTTTAATCTCATTAACCTCTGCCAGAGCAAGTACTCTATCGGTCTTGCTTGCTCCTGTCATTAGAGTTGGGCTTTCATTCCAGAGATTTAATTCGTTTTTTTTTTGTTTTTTTGTGAACGAACACCTTGTTCTTTTTGTTCATTACGTTGCCTTAATATAGAAAGGCCCTATCTCACATCGTCGCTGAAATGCACAAAGCCGTAACTAATTAAAATCTTTTATTGCATAAAACGATTTGGGGCCACATAATGCGATCAAATGCATCATTATCAATTAAAACGTAAATTTTCGATTTTTAGTTAGTTACCGCTTTTTGTATATCAGCGACGATGTCAGATAGGGCCTTTCTATATTAAGGCAGCGATTAGTTCTTTTTGTTTTGCAAGCAACTTTGTTAATTGTAACTGTTGAACAATCTCGTGCCTACGAAACAGGTGTACAGAATAAAGCAACGCCGTGTAACAAGTATAATATACATATTTAAGGTCTTCACGTATTTGCTGAATAATAATTGTAGCGCCCTGGGAAAACTCTTAACCAAGTCTTTATTGATCGACATTCTTGATTCTTGAACAAGAACGAAAAGAGCGACATATATTTTGTTTATATGATGGTTCAATTCGTTCTAAGTTAAACCGTGTTATTTGGACACACGCATGTAAACACATTCTTGAATCGAATTGAAACTTTTAACCGTCCACCATAAATCACACTTTGAATGCGAGTTAAGAGTTGTTGATTCGTGTTAAGAGTGCATATAAACACTCATCCAACTCTGTATGAAGTAAAACATTTGGATAGTTCTTGAAATTACATTTAGGCTAAGGTTTGTTATAAAATTAATAGCTAACATACTTTTTACAAGGCTGTTTGAGTCTTTAATTATTATTTTTCCATGTTTATTATTTTTAAGAATTGACACATGTATTAACAAGGTTGCATTGGGATGAACTCTGTTTGAAAGCGTGATCGATCGACTCATTTATTTTGTCGCATATAAACACTAGTATTTCAAACGAGCTACACTGGCACGAGTTAATTCGATACCGCCATTTGATGCCATATAAACAAGGTAATAGACAAAAAGAACTAGAAGAACAAAAATCAAAGATTTAGTTCACTAGTTCAGTTTAAAGACCCGGTTAATTGAACAAGTTAAGAACGAAACCATGAAACGATTAGAACATGTAACGAAACGCCCCAACCCTAACTATCATGGCAACACTGACAAACAGATGATTTGAAAGCTGTCAACGCAGTTTTTTTTATTGTAGACAAAATTGTCAAAACTGCACCTGTACGTTGAATAAATTTTATTCTTGTCAATCTTCATTACAAAATCATTTTCTTAAATAAAAACAAGTATGTTTTCATTAACTTCCTCCATGAGAACTTGGCTTGTCCGACAACAAAGTGTTGACACAATACGAAAACTGCACATCACCGCTGTTTGTGAAGCCGCTCGTAAGGGCACTAGAGAGAAGGCACGCAAGAAGAAAGTAAAAGTGGAGGTTAAGAAGGTGGGGTTTATACCACATAACCAACGGGATAAGAAGTAATAGTTATCATCTTATATGATACGATATTAATCTAAGTCATTTCATGTACAATAATATTTGCAGAGTCAACTTGCAACGAGAAAATTTACATTTTGACGATTCCTGGAAGCAAGTGCCTCAAGATAATGTTTTTATATTAAAATATTACCGCTGGCCTATATATACTGTGGCGGAAGCCATTCAATGTCACCGTGAAACCCATCATACTAGTATGTATAACGAACCGAATGCTCAGCTCAATGTGCATATTGAATTGGACATGCGAGCAGAGAAGAAAAATCGTTTCGTGGATAACTTCCAACGTATGGCTATGATTCCACATAAGTTTGAACATGGGGAGGAGCGTAAAATTCTCGTTTTTGCTAAAGGCAATGTATGTGCATTCTACGTCTGTTTATTATTTATTAGTAATTACAAATTTTAAATATAGGAGCAAATCAGCGAAGCACGTGAAGCAGGTGCTTCACTTGTGGGCGGCATTGAGCTTATAAAAGATATAACAAACGGAGAACTTTTGCTAACCGATTATCAATACGTGATAGCACATCCTAATATTTTACCGGAGTTAGTGGCTTTGCGCGGCTTGATGAAACGTAAATTTCCAAATCCGCGAAGCGAAACGCTGGGCACTAATCTAGCTGAAATGATTGAGCGTTTCTCAAATGGCATTAGTTATTCTGCCACAAAGGACGAGCACCAACAGGATTTCGGGTTGATTTCAACCAGTGTTGGTACATTAGAAATGGCAACCGAACAGTTGGAAGAGAACTTGCGGTCTTTACTACAAGATGTGGATTCTGTACGTCCGAAGCGTGAGGGTGAGCGATTCATAAAGCGTGTTCTGCTTAAGAGTCCACCGAGTAGCGAACGTCTTAAAATCGATGCTTTCCGATATGTTCCCGAGTTTTATACGAAGACATCTACGAAAGCAAATGAAGCCGAGAATTTGGAGGAAGATATTGAAAAGCAAAAGGCCGTTGTAGCACAATGAATGAATGTCAGTGTAAAAATTAGTGGAGCCAAAGTTAAATTTATTAAATGTTAATAAAATCAGAGTAATAAAAGCAATCCATTACACGCAAGCTATTTAATACTCACTTTTACTTAAATCACTTAACNTGACCAGCGCTGCAAACGATATCAACTAGTAGGCTAACAACCAGAATTGAAATTTAATACGCAAGTACTTACCGTACTACAAGTATACAGAGAGTAGATTTGCTACTCCCTTTTGGCAGCAGCAAATATCTCTCGTACGCGATGAGGGAAAGTAGAGTACGTACTTTGGTGGAGTAATAGCAAGTACGTCAAGTATTTACTCTCTCAACGCCAAGTAGTGTATGTATGCGGAAAAAAAGTAACAATGTGTTGGGAGTAGAGTACAATGCAAGGAGTACTTATTGAATGAAATGCGGCAAATACAATTGCGCTGGACTCTAATAAACATATACATACATACTTCAATGTACATACAGATATAAAAAGCTAGATTTTTATGCAGATCGGTTTTAGTATTAATATTTATATGCTATTTGTAAGAATAAAAAACTAATGCGCGTATTTAAAAATTTTGTCGATTGTATTTTACGGACGCGTGTGCTTGCATGCGTATGCTTAAAATTATAAAAATAATTGGTCAATAGTTTATTGCTAAGCCTTTTGTGTTGTACTGCTACGTTCATGTTGCCTTTGCATTTCCAGTTGTTTGACGCGCGTATAAGCGGCACTTGCAAATAAGACAGTCGCATTTGATGCCCACCACAATGCTGTTTTAGTGTCATTATACCACTGTGTGGCGATTACAGTCTGTGCGCAGGCCTTTGCTGTTCCAGATATATTGTGCGTCAACGGAGATGTTACCTGCATTATTTAAATCAAGTTATTTAATTAGAAATTAGAGCCGAAAATACGTAACTCATTATTTTTTGCATGTTGATAAGTTCTTTTTGTATACTTTGGGGGCCCTAATCGAAACTCTTACCTAGATCACGGTAAAAGTCATTTTAGGACATCAACCAAACATTGCCTACACGTTGGTATTTATTTGTACGTAGTGTAGTAGTCAAACTGCAAAAATATTTTTCTCTATCTCACCACAATTTTTCCAAAAAGAACTTGCAACCATGCAATAAATCGTGATTTTCGTAATTTGACGGTACTAATATGGAATATGAGCTATAATTTAGTTTGGTATCTTGTAAGAAGTGAACTACACAAAAATTAAACTTGTATTACCTTTATTTGCAGAACCGTGACAAATCCAATGGCAAAGCCGCATAATCCACCAATAACCATAGCGCTTATAAACCAAGGTGCAAAGAGGTGCTCATACTTTAAGATAGCACTTACTTCACAATTTATTACGATTAAAGGCAAGAAAAAGAAGCTGGAATAGACATTATTATAGTAGCTTAGTAGCAAAACTTCTTGATGTACATGTACTAAAGCTTTCTTGGTTTGGATAGAATACCACGCCAATATTAGTGAGCCCAAAACTCCATACAATGTACCACGAAGGGAGAACTGTTCTGTAAGGCTCTCTTGGTCTACACCTAATAAGAAGCCAAATACTACAAAAACGCAACAAATGATTGCCTTGAAGCTCGTTTTCTGTCGCAGCAATAAATACGTAAGTACTACATTGAAAACTGTTGTTAAGGATCGGCCAACATAATAAAATGCTACTCCAACGTATTTAAGGCATAAATTATTCGTAGCAACCATCAAAGTGAACAAAATGGATAACGGCAAGATCTAAGTAAGATATGATAAATCAAAGTAAAGATTAATGTATTAAAATAAATAAGTTTGGACACAACCTTGCGAAAGATGTCCACATCAAAAGGATTGCCTACTGGAAATGTGATTACACTTGGATAGCGTCGCCCCAGATAGCTCAAAAAGGCGCACAACGCCGCAGTAAGGAGGCACTGAAACCAACATATAAACAGAGGAGCATCCAAATTTACAGTGTCACTGCTCAATAGTAGTTTATTCATAAAAACAGTACATATGGAGACCGTCCTGCAAACACCACATTAAATGATAGAGCAGTTAACTTCCATTAATCAGTATATTTTACATTGCTTACCAATAGAGAGCAACTACAAAAAACACTTTAAGGTACTGATTTACCAAACGGTTGTGTTCTGACATGCTGGTGTACATGATACCGCCTTGTGCTATTTATTTTATAATTAACTTGGGTATTTTATCAATCTTAAAATGTGCATACATCACTTCACTTAACTAATAACAGCATTGAAGGATGGTTCTAGTTACCATGGTTTTAGTGAAAAAATGCATGAACCAGTCGTTGGTTCATGATAAAAATGCAGACATCAGCTGGAAAGGTCCCAGTGTGTTTATTTGTGTTATTGCTTATTTTTTTATGTGGCAACTTCAAATGTAGGGTGCTCATTTGGAGAGTTGATAACTTGGAATTGTACTACACTACATTATTATAAATAAAATGAAAAATTTTGGCTATTTTTCTTTAGTTTATATAATGTTCATCATATTTTTGCAGAATTCTTATAATTTAAGCACAAAGGCTGAAATTTGGACTTACATATATGGTGTTAGGTAATCAGCTATACTGTCATAAAAAAATATTTACATTAAATAAACTAAAGAAATATAGCAAAAACTTACTAATATGGCGCCTCTCAGTTTTTATTTGGTTGACTGTATATATTTTTCAACACGAAGAAAATTTGAATTATATATTGCAATTCGAGCCCTAACCGCCAAAATAACGTAAGCGACATTTTTTTCAAAATTTTGTTTTTGATGCAGAAATATTCCTAGAGTATCTAGATGCGTTTCTGCATCAAAAATAAAATTTTGAAAACAATGTCGCTTACGCTATTTTGGCGGTTAGGGCTCGAATTGTTCTAACCATACGCAGATGATATGTAGGGTATATTTCTTTGGTTATGGTCAGCGTTGCCGTTTTGGTCCGATTGGACCAAAATTGGCAGCTTCATTCTTCTTTGGTAGTTTGGTTGGTTTAATGAAGCTTTTGGTAGGCAAAAATGTTTTAAAAATGCAATCAAATTGAGCATTAAATTTGTTCTCTTACTTGACGTTTACACGTTGAAAACATTGCTTTCACTTTGCTCACACGTATAAGTTTTCTTTTTTTTCTAAATTTTCCCAAGCACACAATTTTTGCAAACAAAAACTCACTTCCCAAAGCTATCCTATGCTTATCGTCTTAAAGAAATTATTGGTGACAGGCAATTTGCAAGTGCGAGTGTATTGGTAAAGAACGGTGAGTGTATGCAAATTGAAACACAATATTGATTTTTTTTTTATTAAAATGCAAAAAATGTCTGATATCAATTGAATTAATCTGAAAGGTATTTAAATTTTTTTCAAAAGTTTTTTACGTAATACGTTAATTCTATTATTTAAAATCCCGACATCGTTTTGTTCAACCTTAAAGATTGGTTTGAATGGTTAGCCAACACTGTAAACAATATTATACTGCCAATTTGCGTAGCTGAAAACCCCGTAAATTCAAGAAATCTCGTTTAAATGATGAACAAAAATTTGGTAGTTTGGAAACTGATTTGGTAGGCTTTTGGTACCTAAAAATAAAAGCAAGTGGCAACACTGGTGTTGGTTGGTCTCTGGGGGTTTTTACACCCAACCGCCTTTTCCATTGGTGTTTTTTTTTCCTGATAAAGGATTTAAAAATTGGTAAAATGTCGGATTCGGACTCGGATGACCAAGATTGGTTTAATAAAGATGAAGAAGAGATTTTGCAAAGCTTTCAAGCCAAGGTCAGCAGCAATGAATCGAAAAATACCGATGCTAGAGTGGAATATATTCATGGATCGTCCGAAGCAGGTGAAAGTCTAGGGAACAGTTTCCAATATATGTTTTTACTGAATTTTTAATACTATTGTAGATGACTACCTACAGCAAAAAAGACTTGAAGCTTCTTCGGAACTTTTGGCAGCACCTACCGTAAGGAAGCTACCAACAGCGGAGATGCGTAAAGCAATAAACATGGAACCACTAGACATTTTTCTATTTGTTACGACCAGTGAATACGACTTTTACGCGGGTCAAATAACGGCTAGCGATGGCTTGGACCGGGTTCTTCTATACTTACGTATTTGGCATGTGATATGCAAGTTGGAGCTTCCCGGCTTTCAGGAAGAACTATTACAAAACTTCGTGAAAAATGAAGCATTCTTAGAACAATGGCGAGTTATAGTCGCTAAACTTTTTCGAAAGAGCTACAAAACGATATGGAAAAGTGATGAAGATGTAGATGAAATATTAAATGCAATTAAGTCCTTAATTTTGTGGGTACACAAAGGTGAACTCATGACGCCTAAAATTTACCACGTAATAACACATATAAAGAAACTTATAAACGAAAGTGACAATCGAGATATTGAACAACGTCATGCCTGCCAACAATTAGTGTTGGAGCTGGATCGCATATTATCTGTGAAAGGTATGCAGTTAGAGGAAAAATTGAATGAAACTGAGGTGAGTATCGAGTTGAATGAAATATATTTCAGCACATCATACGTAATTTTTCCAGATATATCCCTCACTGGATGATCTTCGTTCGCGCAACAGCGAAAACTTTCAAACAACAAATACGGTAAACAAATTAGGAAAACATAAAGTCGCTGATTATTTGACGAAACAAAAACAACTTCTTCGTGAAGATTTTATGATACCTTTGCGCGAGTATGTCTGTAAAATAAAGAGTTCCAAACCACATAGTACCACACCAGAGTTGTACGAAGACGTATTCATAGTTCTTAACTCCGATTTCGTCAATTCCAAGCGTCATGAATTGGTATTTATAGACATTTTGGGCACAAAGCGATCAATGGACAACACTAAGGTAAAACTATCACGCAAAGTGAAAGATAAAATCGCTTCAATAAAAGCTGGGTCATTATTACTCCTGACAACAAGCAAAAACTTCGAAGATCTTATTTTAGCCACGGTAACCTACACTGATGGAGAACTTCTTTCTTTAGGATATGTAAGATTAATTTATTTATTGTTTAAGTTTATTTTAATAAAATTTAAATGTAGGTTGGCATTCAAATTTTACGACAGGAGAACATAGTCGCTGTGTATGACCGGCAGTTGCTCATGTTTGAAACGCCGGCCTTCTTTGAACCATATAACAACGTTTACAACTACTTGAATATATATGGTGCTGGTGATCTGCCTATGAAAACATACATTTTAGATGATGAGGTAAAACTTATTTTAACCTTTTGAATTTCGTAATTCTTTAACTTATTATATAATGCAATACAATATCTTTTTATTTTCAGAAAGATGTTAATGCACCTTGCTACCTTGCACCAGAAACGTTGTACTATTATGACAGAGAGCCATTTCAGGTGACGGCTAAAAATCCATCCCAGCCGAAAAACCTCGCACTGAACCACTCTCAGTGGCGTGCATATTGCCAAGCTTTGACCAAAGAATTTTGCCTTATACAAGGTCCACCAGGAACTGGAAAAACACATCTCTCTGTACATTTAATTCGCACTCTTATCGAGAACGTCAAAACACCTATTGTCTTAATCACGTATACAAATGATTCGTTGGATAAGTTTCTGTTAAAATTGTCGGCCTACACCAGCAATATTTTGCGCTTCGGCAGCCAAATTCGCTTGCCTGAAATCTCGAAATTTAATGTCCAATTTGATTCTACCCACAAAGAATTGGCAAATCCTCGTCTAAAGCGTCTCTACTATGTTGTTAATGAAGAGTTTAAGGCTAAGTTTCAAGTAGTACAGCAAATGCATGTCGATTTTGATGGCACCGAAGAATCGTATCAGCGTTTATTACAAGCTCAACGTGCTGTAAATGGTGTTGCGGAAAAATTAAAAACTTTGCGAATAATGTTCCAATTTTATGCGGCCCAAAAAGCTGATGTTATAGCTATGACTTCAACTTTTGCTGCCAAAACGAATTTTCTCTTTCGCTTGCTGCAAAGTAAAGTCGGTAAGCGCTTTTAGGTGAAAACATATCCCATATTATAAAATTTTTCAAATATTTTAGTTATTTTCGAAGAGGCTGCCGAAATATTGGAGTCACATGTGTTGGCCTGTTTAACGCCATACACCGAACATGTTGTCATGATTGGCGACCATATGCAATTGCAGCCATACACCTCGGGTCATCGCCTTAGTGGCACCTACGAATTGAATATTTCCTTATTCGAACGACTATTTGTTAACAATCTGAAAGGAGCCATACTTAATATACAATATCGTATGCGCCCTTGCCTTGCAGACCTCATTCATCCGACTTTTTACACTGATCTGAATAATGATGCGAGCGTTGAGAACTATCCAAAAGTTCGTAATATGCTCACCGACTTATATTTTTACACCCATAATGAATGCGAATGTCAATCAGAGGTATATGCATACATATGAATATTAGACTGCATCACCAAAAAAAAGTTGCGGTTTTTCCACGGGGATTACAAAAGTTATTCTATTTTAAGACGTTCACCAAAATTTTTCTGAAAAATATTAAAATTTACGTGACCTGGACCGACTTGAAAATACCTCCAAAAATGGAGTTTTTTATGAATAAAAGTCGTTTCTAAAAGATTTTTTTGAAAAAAGTTCCCTCAGATAACAAAACAGATTAAGCTTAAAAAATCCACATTAAAATATTTAAAAGTCTTTTCATCGAAATCGTAATAAAGAGATTTTTGATGTTGTTTTTTACTTTTTTCCAAGATAGATTTACGAAAAACTTGATTAACTGGGCCAAAACTATTCTGATTTAGACTTATGGGTTCTCAGTAGAAAGGTATTTTCCCACTGTTTTTATTTCTGTCCAAAAAAAGTCATTCCCGTCCCAATTTTTATTATTTTTTTCAAATACCCACACATCTTCACTCAACTTTGAATGACGTTCGTTCATTCTACCTTTCTTTTCCATCATTCGAATGGATTTATTAGCAAAGAAATAAAAAGGGTGAGAAAACACGTTTCCAATGGACATCTCACAAGTCTAAATCGAAAGAGTTTAGGTTCAGTTATTCCAGTTTTTCTTATACCAATCTTTGAAAAAAGTTAAAAAACAGCATCAAAAATCTCATTATTACGATTGCGTATAAAATTTGTTTAAAAATATTTTTATGCAAATTTTTTAAGCTTAAACCATTTAGTCATTTGAGGGAATTTTTTCAAAAAAGCTTTTAAGAAACTATTTTTATTCATAAAAAACTCCATCTTGGAGTTATTTTCAAATCGGTCCAGCTCACTAAAATCTTAATATTTTTTCGAAATATTTTGGTGGACGTCTTAATATATAATACATTTTATAATTCCAATGGAAACACAGTACCGATTTTTTTTGTATGGGGAGTAATGCAGTCTAATGTATATACTTACATACAGTATCGGTCATATCTATAGCACGCCATTTCAGAGTGATATTGTTTGCCACTTATATTAGAATTTTTTTGAGTACATACACAGTTTCTGATAATGCACAAGTATCAGGTGGCTGAAAATTACCGTTGATTTTTTAGACTCCTGTGCCCACTAGCGGATAATTCTTCTAGCAGTTTGACAAACTCACCCAGAAAAATAGTTCGGACGACCTCGGGCTAGCGAAAACTCAGGTTACTCTTTCAAAGTGGGTCTTAATAGCCCGAGAACTGACAGAAGAAACCGAAATTAAGCAGTCTGGGCACCCGCTGGTTACCAAAAACAGACCTGAAGTTTAGTTTGTTGTAAATTTTGCATCTCAAATAATTCGAAGTGATTTGCTGCATGCTTCTATTATTTTGCATGTAAAAATTACTTTTGTTTGCTTTCAGGATGAATGCTCGATCTATAATGATTTTGAGGTAACTGAAACTTTGAATTTGGCGAAACATTTAATTGAAAAGGCTGCCTACACTGCCGATGACATTGTAATACTGAGTCCTTATGCGAAACAAATAGAAACCTTGAAAGTGAGGGTAAGACAAACCGATTTTTTAATTCAAAATAAAAGATAACTTATTTTGCATTACAGGCAAATAAATTACTTGACAAAATACAATTGAACATCGCCACTGTAGACAGTTTTCAAGGACTTGAGGCCAACATAGTGCTATTGTCACTAGTGCGTAGTAATTCCAACGGTCAAATTGGATTTCTCAAAGAGAACAATCGAATTTGCGTGGCACTTTCGCGAGCTAAGCATGGCATGTATATAATTGGAAATATGCCATTGTTGGCAAAATATAGCAAGACATGGGGGATAATCGAACAGAATTTGAAGACTCGAGGACTCATAGGCGATAAGTTTCCACTGATAAATGATGAAGAGTAATTATAAGAAAAAAATAACTAAGATCTTACTTTACTTACTCTAAAACTCAGCTATATAACTGGTGGAACATTTAATCCGTTTTCTTACTTACATGCATGCATACATATGTTATCTATGTTTTTATAGTACGCAGTACAAAACTCATGCGTATAAAATAAAAATACAAATCAATTTGACATTCGACTTGTTTAATTTTTTCATTTTTATGAAATTTTATATTTATTATTATAATATGCCTCTCTTTTTATTATGTATGTTTGTATGAATTTACTTTATGCTTCTATAACCATTTTAAGCTATACTACTATGATACTTTTGCTTTCATTTATTTTTATGCATACAACANATTTTATATTTATTATTATAATATGCCTCTCTTTTTATTATGTATGTTTGTATGTATTTACTTTATGCTTCTATAACCATTTTAAGCTATACTACTATGATACTTTTGCTTTCATTTATTTTTATGCATAACACAATAGGGGTATTCTCGAAGTATTGCACGATGCACGTATTGCACGAAATGCAAAAATACTATCCCAAATTTCGAAGAGTACGAGAGCACCCCATTGCAAAGTGGTGGAATGCATGGGTAGCAAGCAGCGAAATTATGTATCAAATACAATAACAAGAGACAGCAAAAAAAAATTAAGTGAGCGAGATGAGAGGAATGAGAGAAATATGTAGCAAATCCAACAACAAAACAACTAGCACAGGGTCGCATATATCTTGCTATGCTATTTTGCAAAATATATACATGGGTTTCGACGTTGCATATTTTGCAGCGATAGGAAATGTCGTTTCCCATGTATTTTGTTGTTGTGTGTTTGCAAGTTATGCAATCCATGCAATCCGTGCTACATGCAATGGCTTTGCAAGATTTGGAGAATACCCCTCATGATTTAATCTATACCCCGCAAACCAAAGTTCCCGAAATTTTAACGAAATCTTAAGGATTATCTCATTTCTGTAACGATTTTTTACGAATCTTCAAAGAAAATTAAATGAAGTGGTTGACACGAACTCGTAAAGAAATATCTGTAGGAAAAATATAGAAAATTTCGAAAAACTTCTGCAAGAACTTCTTCACATAGCCGCATTTTTTTTTTAATTGCTTTACCGATTTTCTTCCCGAATTTCGTAAAAGAATCGAAGTGTGCACTAGGGCGGGTCGAAAATCTAATTTTATGACTTCCACTTCGATAAATAATCGAAAAAAAAACTAGCGAAGACACCGATTGGAATGAGTGGAACGTGAGTTTTCAAGTAGTTTTCACCGAAAACTGGTTTTCGTTTGACAGATTTTACATAGACGAAAACTCAAGTTTTAGGTCGAAACCCAGTTTTAAATCCCTTGGTAATAGTGAAAATAAGACCAATTCTTGTTAAAAATTCTGGGTTCAGCAAAAAGGTTTGGTGCATATTGTTAGATAATGAATCCGTTAACGCAAAAGATAAAGTCAAATATCATTACTCGCAGCCCTTTAGCTTATCGTCAATCTCAAAGTTATCTTTTTTCAATAAGTTTTCAATTGTTCTCTTTATAATTGCACTGGCCTATAGTCAAAAGATGTAAAGAACAGCACTAAATTGCTGGCGTGCAGTTAGGTCGCTGGTTCCCAATATTCTAATCTTTTTTTTTTAATATTTGCTCTAGTTTGCGAATTTTTGCAAATTTAGGAACAATTTCGGTAGTTCTAATAGAAAATCCATTATTTCGCGTCATCGTGGAAAAACTTTGTTTATGCAAGTGAGTATGGGAACACTGAATAGACACAACTTCTAGAAACACTCATTAGTTTATTTATGTTTATGCATACAATATAAAAATTGCAAATATAGGAAAATTAAACAAAAATTTTGTTCAACATTTTTTTATTTAAAGTAATTTATTTATAATCTGAACGATTTTCATCATATTATTATTATAAATCAGTAACAGTAGTCTCGCCTTCAATTTGGTAATTACTACGTACCGATCGAGCAACATTTATAAAAAATATGTATCTTAAATTGTATAAACAACTTTTAGATAAAATAGCCGGATTACAGAAAAGTGTGCCAGGGAGAGACTTTTTTCGTTCGAGCTGAATGCAAAGCACTATCGTCCGATTGGAAAGTCCTCAAAAGGATTTCCCAGGATATGTTAGAGACTTTTTCACATAATGCAATTAACTAAAATATTTATGTATATCTAAACATTTATTGCACGTCTCCTACTTTAATGTAACGGCAAATTTAGAATCCACGAAAAACGTGATTCTTCTTTACTAATTAATAAAACCATTCCACACCAATTTTCAAGGCGGCATAAATGGACTTAAAATGGGCGTATATATGCTTGAAACTACTATTAACTTATCAAACGATTCCTAATCTTTGACAATATATGTTTGATTTCATTCACCAGGATCTTGAAAACTGACCAAATCGGCGTGACCAAGTCCATGGTCCTTTTAATATTATCTAAACATCCGAAAACATTAAAACGTTTGTAAATGAATCTCATCTCACCTTTTTGTATTTTTCACTTGGTTGCTGAAGTAATGAAGAATTGAAAATTTATCAGGGAAAATTATAGTTTTTGTAAGTTTTATCTTAATATCTTAAAAATTTTAAGACTTATTGAAAAATGATAAATGAACGCGAGGTACTAAATTTAATAACCCTCAATTTAATATATCGTCCTGTTTATAACAATTAACGCATTACAGATATTACCAGCCAAAGTTTCATTTTTAAAATTCGTACACTTTGATTCAATTGTGCGGGCTAAAGATAAGTTTTAAATTAATCTTTCGTGGCCAATAACAATTGGCTAAGACCTAAGACAACATAATATTACTATTACAATACGGTCAAATGCCTTTTATTTTCCCCCATACAAAATCGACACAGCCTAGTGTGCACAATTTATTTTTATTTATTTAGAAAACTCGGCAAAAAATCGGATGAGATCTTTACGAATTCTTTTAAATGTCTACAATACTGAATGAATAATGTGAGTTGAAATTCGATGAAATCCGTCATATAACTCAAAAAGTGAATTTTGCATTTTTTATTAGTTATGACTTTTTACATTTCAACGATGATGTTTGTAACGTCTTTTTACATTGCAGGTGACAACATGTATGTATCTGCATGCATTACAATATTTTAACAAATGCATTTGATTTAGCTTATTTGTGTAGTTGAAATTGAAAAAATGGTATTCAACGAAAAACCAAGGCACATAAATACAGGTAGAAGCCAAAATGACGTTGCTCTCATGAGAACCAAACCTTTAAACTTCAACTTGTTTTTCTTTTATTTCCTATATTTCGTTACGCTTTGAATGCCATATCGTTTTTTTTTTTTGAATGTTCGTTAATAACAAATTTTAATTAACATTTGAATTTTTGTAGTGTTGTGCAGTTTATACTTAATGTATGTGTTAAAAATGCAACACCGAAGCGTTGTTTTTTATGTGGTGTTAAATATAAAGCAGATACCATTTAACGTGCCTCAATGTCCTTCGCATAAAGAGCGTTGCGAAAGCAGCTGTGGGCCAGAGCTGCAGCGAAATGCCTTGCTGTGCGTTAAACATTTTAAAGCAGCAGATTTCATAAATGCACCGGGAGGTACAGGAAAGGCACGTTTGATGCCAAGTGCTGTTCCTATGACCCTTATGCCGGAAAGTCCCTCCAACAACACTGCAACTCATAAATTAAAAACATAAAACAACATACAAATTAACAAATTTTAACTAAAGAAAAATAAATAAATAGAAACAAAACTTCAAATTTACTCAAAAACGTCAACCAGCGAAATGTAATTTTTTATTTTTCCTTACACACGCTCATTTTTATTTTTACTCTCCCGAAAAGTTTGACTTCTATAGGTTTGATGTCAATTTGGCTTCTACCTGTTTTTATTGTACCATGCGAAATACGACTAGTTAGAACAACCTCTAGAACAATGATGGGCAAAACGCTACTCGCGAGTAGCGTCTGCGTCGCAGCGCTTAAGCTCTGAACACTTTGACGACTGCAACTTCACGACGTAACGACAGCGACATCATTTTGTCGACAAATGTCGCCTTGAAGCCAGCTTCTTAAACATTTTGAAGACCTCAGCGACATAGCAAACAGCTGATTTTAAAGTTTGACNTTGAATAAACTATCATTTTTTAAAACATTAGTTTAATGAAATTAAATTAAAAAACTTTTCATGCACGTACAAATGTACTTATAAAAATTAATTTCATAATTCATTATTTGAAATTATTTCTTCATTATTTTTTTATTATATTTTATTATTTTCGTTTCATGTTCATAATACAAATTAAATATAAATTTGTAAGAGCGTTTTCTNCACAAAAGTGCTTATCAAAGTCCTCATTTTCGTTCAGGCCATGGGAAAAAATTGAGTACTTTCCCCTCAATGTTGTCATCAGAAAGTCCTCAGTACTAATAGTCAAACTACTCATTTATGCCGTACTACAAAAACAAAAGTGTAAATGTGTGAGAATTTTTGCCTAAAGTGCTCAGCAATGTCTTGTAGGGGTTACTCAGCGCGATTCACGAATACCATGACAAAATGAGACTGTATTGGTGTGCCCATCTATGCTCTAGAATGTGGAAACGACTTCCCTACAAGACATTGCTGAGCACTTTAGGCAAAAATTCTCACACATTTACACTTTTGTTTTTGTAGTACGGCATAAATGAGTAGTTTGACTATTAGTACTGAGGACTTTCTGATGACAACATTGAGGGGAAAGTACTCAATTTTTTCCCATGGCCTGAACGAAAATGAGGACTTTGATAAGCACTTTTGTGATTAGGAGTAATGATAATATGAGTACTCATATGATACTCAGCTGTCTTGTAGGGTTGTATTACAAATGTACATACATACATATGTACATACGTATTTATGAATGTATCATCGTTTTCATATAACATATTTTTTATTTTGATAAAAGTAAACCAATTTTAAGATCTTCATATGGGAGGTTCCGTGAGAAACTGAACCTTATGCAAAAATAATTTTTCTTTATAAAACTAACAAACGTGTAGATGAGACATTGTAAACATCATTGAATCAACCAAAAAATAGCAAATTAAAGCGTTAAATATATATTATATTCCCTTTTTTACGTTTGGAAATGAAGTCCGAGGTAAATTTTTTGAGTG